AACAGATGGATGGTTTAGGAGTCTAATGATTTTTCCAGATATCCATCTCTTTCACAGGCCTGATGGAAGGACTTGGCTGCATACAGGCCATTATCAGTTATTGCATTTGCCAGTCAGCTGTAAATGCTAAAGTTTAGTTTCAACTGTAGTTGGTCCTCGTTATTTAAAAAAAAAAAAAAAATTTAACTTCCCTCCCATTTCCATTGGGGAGGGGGGCACTGACAGTACAATGTCCTCTGTGTGCAGTAGCAAGGTGCTGTGACAGGAATGTGTTTTGACGAAACCTTGCCACACTGGCTATATCTTTTATATACCATAACTCATTACCATCTATTATAATTTAGAACCATAAGTGAGTATATGTTTTTTGTAACAATCAAAAAAGCATAATAGCAACCGGTGAAAGGTCAGCAACATTTCACGCAGTTTACCATTTACAACAAGGTTTTTGTTTTGTTGTTGCAAATTCTTTTATTTAATACAAAGATTTACAAGAAAGAACAATGAGTCAGATAAAAACACTGCAGGAACACCAAGAAGTGCAAAGGGAAACAGGGCAGCAGTAAATGCAACCACCATAATGGGGACCGACAATATAATATGGACAAACGTACAACAACAAGACATGCATATTGGGAAAGTAAGGCATAGCATTAAGGATATCAGAACCCCCAAAGTACATCCCCCTCTTGGTGTGATGTTAAAGCATGTCCCCCATGGATCAAACCATTTCATCTGGTACATCTAGCAGTTTGTGAAAAGAAAGTTAAAGCTACTGCAAAAGGGCTAAAGGGAAAAATAGAATGGAAAGAGGAGGAAAAGAAAGAAAGAGGATTGAGAAAGGGGGGAGGGGGAAGGAACAGAAAGCAGAGACAGAAAGGGAACAAGGAAACCACCTCCTGCCCAGATCCAAAAACCGTATGCATGAAAATGCAAATCACCCATCAGCAGAGTATAAAAGATCCTCGTACTCCATCATAGAAGTCCAGCCAGTAAAACCAAGTTCGACTGGCTTTTTCATGAGTGCCCTTAATGTACGATATTAAATCCTCCATTCGTTCAATCTCATTCATTCATTATATTGAACCACAGAGCTAGGGTGGAGCACGTTGCTGCTTCCAAAAATCTGGGATACAACTTCTAGCAGCTAATCCAACAACAATGTTTATTGCAATACATATATTAAACTTTAAGGTAAACATATCATTTTTATCATACAAAATAAGGAATTCAAGTTCTCGGCCAAAACGAATCAATACAGCATGAGCGAAGTCCCATATAAAATCTGGCACACCATCGCGCTTGGCAAATGAAAGCCAGGATCTGGCCTATTGAATGTTGTCTCTTACATAAAGTTCCCGCATGAAGAATCAATGTGTTATTCTTCTATTGTTAAAGTAGTGAAGTATAAACAAAAAAAGGGTTGGGAGAGGAATGGGATAGTGGTTATTTGTTCACAAGGGATTTTCTCTTGCAAAGTTACTCTGAAGTTATGCCAATTTCCGATTCCATGGAAATGTTACTGCTCCTGAAGGTGATTATACCTGGCATGCATAACACTGGGATGTTTCTTGACATTCGATAATGTTTCAGTCACCTGGTGACAGGTAAAATTAATTAAACGTCCTGCAAGTTCAGAAACTAGGCATATTTTTCCTTTTTAAATGTATATGATGTCTAGGTTATATTTCTCAACCTGAAAGAGATAAAACATTTGATTAGCACATGCATTTCTTCTTTGAAAGAGACAACTCCAACCAATAGTAGGAGCAACAAAATTGAGGACAAAAAGTCCCAGGAGAGATCTGACAGAGTGTAGTAGTTGACAGAAATGTTTTGTTTTAGTTTGCATCTGCATGTTTTCACTGATGAAAACAAAACTAAAACCCCGAAATTAAAAGGACTAAAACTACGATGAAAATACATTGTAATTTTCTCTACTGGAGATTTAGTTGACAAAACTGAACTAAAACTAAAAGAATTCAGATGAATAAAATACGCATTTTAGTTTTAGTCACATATTAGTCGCTAAATTATTTTAGTTTTGGCGACTGCATCTCCATTAGAGAAAATTGCAATATATTTTCATCATAGTTTTAATCCTATCAACTTAGTTGTTATTTAGTTTTCATCAGTGAAAACATGCAGATGATGAAAACTATGACGAAACATTATGGCACAACAACTAAGTTAACCCTAGTGTAGTATTTATATTACAAAGCTATAAATGGCTACGTTTTAGGTTCATGGAGAAGAAAGAGTTTGATACTTCCATAGATAAAGTTGCGAGAAATCCCCTTTGGGGATATCGGGCAACCTAAGGTGCAAAAAAGGTGTGCGGCGAATAATTCTGTCCCCGCGCAGCATGGTCGCTCTCGATGCTGGTTGGGGTGAAGTTCAGATGATCCAGAGCTTGGCAGCTAGATGGATCCGATGTGTGCTGGAGAGACGAGACAAGAATGCCCACAAAATATAGGCGCAAGATAGCAGAAGCGCCTGGATGGAAGAAATTAAGTAACCGTGTTTCTTCAAATTAGACTTTTATTCCATTAAACACACATAACTAACACCGTCTCAATGCCTTTCATGGCTCTAAGCTGGCCACTTCCTCGAGAGGGTGTGATGAGACACTGTTACATAAAATAAGAGTACTGATGACATGGGGAATATAAAATATATATACGGTAATAGAACATGGGAGGGAAAAACATATCATGTGATTGCAAGGATTTGTTACATTTTAAAAACATAAAAGTATATACAGTAAACGCTCAGTTATCCGGTATTCAACTAACCAGAACTCTCATCTAACCAGACAAAAAAAAATCCCCTGTGTACTCACTGTTCTGCTGATCTGCGACATGTATTATCCTAGAAACAGTCATGTGCCTATTTGTCTTAATTTGCTTTTGATTATTGCATTTCAGTATTAATATGAAGTCAATACAGAGTTTATGGTTGCTTGAGAGTCACTACTTTTTTAAAAATAGGTCTAACTAATGCCATACCCCATATTATAACATAAACTACATTTACTTGGAATCTTCTAATCCCCGTTGATGCCGGATAACAGGGAGTTTACTGTAAAAGTATCCTGGAAATATGTATAATTATAATATATGGTATATGTTGTTAAGATACATGAATATTTATAAACATAAGAATATGTACATGCTTTGCGTTCCATGGTGAAGAGAAGGGGTGGGTTGATTGCTGGCACATGCTCAATAGGTATGGAGCAGAGTTTATTTCTGGCTGTCACACTGCTGTTGTTTAATAGGTGGGAGCAGCTGGGAGGAATGCAGGGTAAGAGAAGGTAGTGTGAGAACTGTCAAATGACCTGTCAGTGGGGAAGATAAGCTAACCCTGGAGGAAAACAGGATTGCAGTGAGCTGCTAGAGCCTCTGAGGGAGGAAAGGATAATGCATGAAATGAAAACCTATTGTATGTGATCAGGCTAACCTATAATAGATCTTGGATGATGGTAAAGACATGTAACAAAATATGTAACTGGGAATTGTAACAAAATGGAAATAAATGTGTATAACATGCATGATGAATGACAACTATAAAACAAGATATAACATTATATAAATAAATAATGACATCTATTTCTCAAATGAATTCTGAGTTACAAAATAGATTGTTAATATCAAGTTTTAGTATGGTTTATATAGCGTATATATAACATGTAAACCAATAAAATATAAATCAAGGTCTTTTTTTAACATATACTATATGTTATAATTATACATATTCCCAGGATACTTTTGTACATTTTTAAAACGTGACAAATCCTTGCAATCACATGATTATATGTTTTTTCCTCCCATATTCTATTATATATATTTTATATTCCCCAGTTCATTAGTACTCTTATTTTATGTAACAGTGTCTCGTCACACACTCCTGAGGAAGTGGCCAGCTTAGAGCCACGAAACGCGTTGAGACAGTGTTAGTTATGTGTATGTTTCATGGAATAAAAGTCTAAATTGAAGAAACACGGTTACTTCATTTCTTCCATCCCAGGGCCTCTGCTCTCTTGCACCTACGTTTTTTGGGGGCAATCTTGTCTCCTTTCTCCATTTCTTTTTTGTGTACACCTGCACCTGACCATACCATGCCATAACCATAATGAGCTGCAGTAGGGTTGAAGGGAGGAACATGATTTGGTTTTCTGGGGTGTACCTTGAGGTCTGCTAAGTCCCCTATTTGGCCTTTTGTATGAAAAAGGATTATAGACTTGTGAAGGTTTGTACTATTAAGGCCTCACGGAAGTCAAACAGTCACAGTCTCTATTGGTAGTAGTGGAAGTTTTTGGATATATACCTATCCTTCTCCTTAGCATTTCATGTATCAGAAGAGGGACCAAAAGAATGTGTATTGACTGTGCAGATCCAGTCTGTAAAAGCAGAGGTTCAGCAACAGGAAGATTGTGGAAGGCCACAGCAGTCGGATTCATGCATGCATCTTGACTGAGGGAAGACGGGTTCCTTATGTTCGGGGGGGCAACTTTTCCTTTTGATATCTGGATGGATTCATTGTCCAATCCTTGATAACACCATCTTTCCTGGTTTCCTTTTTTCCTATTGGCCTTTGCTCCTCAATGCCGAATTTAGTAGCCATGAATATAAACCTACGGCCTAGGATACCTGTGTCCTTCTGGTGAATGTTATGATATTGAAGGCTACTGCTGATCACAACCCAGTACATCATTTGATATAGGCAATCTATTAACTAATCTAGCTCAGCCCTTTTCAGTCTTCCAGGCCATAGGGAACCCATGCTGAAATTAGTATACACACATATAGTATATTAAATATAGACTTTACTTGCCATTTTAATATTACCACCTATAATTTAAAACCAAGCCCTGCATAGGAATGTTTTACCTTCCTGGCATTCTGCCTGGTTTCTCTTCCAGTAGTATAGTTAGGTAATGTATGACTCATCCTAATAGAGTGCGGATAAGCATCTCTCTCTGGAGTTGGACAGCTGCGAACAGTACTCACTGAGTACACTGGAGGAATGCAGTAAGGACTTGTAGGTTCTTTCTGACACGTTTGCATCAAAAGAGTATCCTAAAATAAAAGGTAAGTATTCAAATAAGTGCTTTTTGAAGATGTACGAAATATACATACCGTGTTTCCCCGAAAGTAAGACCTACCCCGAAAATAAGACCTAGTGCTATCTTCTGGGATTTCTGTAATATAAGACCTACCCCGAAAATAAGACCTAGTGCTATCTTCTGGGATTTCTGTAATATAAGACCTACCCCGAAAATAAGACCTAGTGCTATCTTCTGGGATTTCTGTAATATAAGACCTACCCCGAAAATAAGACCTAGTGCTATCTTCTGGGATTTCTGTAATATAAGACCTACCCCGAAAATAAGACCTAGTGCTATCTTCTGGGATTTCTGTAATATAAGACCTACCCCGAAAATAAGACCTAGTGCTATCTTCTGGGATTTCTGTAATATAAGACCTACCCCGAAAATAAGACCTAGTGCTATCTTCTGGGATTTCTGTAATATAAGACCTACCCCGAAAATAAGACCTAGTGCTATCTTCTGGGATTTCTGTAATATAAGACCTACCCCGAAAATAAGACCTAGTGCTATCTTCTGGGATTTCTGTAATATAAGACCTACCCCGAAAATAAGACCTAGTGCTATCTTCTGGGATTTCTGTAATATAAGACCTACCCCGAAAATAAGACCTAGTGCTATCTTCTGGGATTTCTGTAATATAAGACCTACCCCGAAAATAAGACCTAGTGTCTTTTTTTCGTGAAAAAAAAAAAAAATAAGTCACTGTCTTATTTTCGGGGAAACACGGTACATACATAAAAGTCAGCAGCATGCTTCACCAGTGACCTTTTAACTCTTTGAGCACACAACATTAGATACAAATTTGAAAAATGAGGAGCTCTCTAACACATTTATGATTAGGATATGCTTTATATAATATTTTTACTATAGTTTATTACAAATATTAAATGGGGCTAGACCATCTCGTGTGCCGAGTTCACAAGTATAGATACGGATGTAGGCCAGGACAGCTACGAAGGTACATTATGACCCACACCTATAGCTCTCAAACACCTGGTGTAGTTAAGGAAGATAAAAATTGCTGACAAATCTAAACAAAAAGTAATGCATTTCAAAAGGAATGCATAGAAAATGGATAAAAACTCATGTTTATATGCTACACCGTTCTTACAGGGAATTGAAGGCTTACAAATGAACTCCAAAATAGGGAAATATTTTAATATAAGCATGTGTATTATTACTTGAATCTTGTTGTGCTTTGTGTATTCCTTCCAGATCTGTACAGTAATCCAGTGTGAAACTTTTCCCACTGGATTTTCCTGTAATAAAGACTGGTCACTGCTGCCCTCTATCCTTGTGCTGGGTGACTGGACTTGTCTCCGCCCCCACCTGTAGTCTTCTGCAGGCAGCCTGTGGTGGGTGGACCTGCTGGGTCCCTCCCACAGCTCTGCTCTCTGCACAGGCTATGTACAACAAAGTAATTATGTCACTGCTAATTTTACAAGGTGATATCTCGGTTTGTAGCGCTCACAAAGTTGATTTATATCCTTTGTGGCTATTGAGCAATATATTTCAATGAAAGTTGTTGTGCCTGGAGTTCAGCTTTGGATGTGTACATGTTGCTCCTGCATGCACCTGTCACAACTTAAAGCTACATAAGCATGAGATTAACAAATACTTGTAAATACAGAAAGATTGCTCAGCTTCAGCCTACATAAACTATCTCAGTTTTCAACAATTAGCCAGATTACAGAATGGAATAAAAAAAAGGACATATTACTTACATTGAGACATACCACAGTTTAAATATAAACACATTTCTGCAATAATTTAACCTCTTCCTGACTGGGAAAAATATTAGAACAAGATTAGAATATTAATGGGTTAATAATAATATTTTTTTAATCAGGAGCTCCTGATCTGCTCCTCCACAAGAGCACTCAACAATGGAACTAGCATGCTACAAACATCCTCGGGACCTGTCCAGCAGATCAGGAGCCACTTGTGGTCACCGTGATTAATCAATCATGGTAATCATTTTAGAACAGAGGGAGCTGCTATTTTAGCAAGTCTATGGTGGGCTCTGCAGGGTCTCAGGGGGGCGGTCAAGCCCTCTTACCTGTCTGCTCCAATCCTCTGTCCGCCTCCTGCTCCTCAACGATCACTTGCGGGCCCCGGCTCCTCCGTCACTGGGGCCCGTCTGCTTGATCATCGGGCCATGCCTCCCCTATCGCTAAGCCCCGCTTACTCGATCACTGGGCCCACCTCCTCCATCGCTGCCGACGACAGGCCCAGCCACCTCCTCCAAAGCTTCTGGTTGTCACCGATTCAGCAGTGGCTGTGAGGAGGAACGCGGCGCTGCACATGTGAATATCGGCGCATTCCTCCTCACAGCCGCCAGTGACAGCCAGCAGCCTGAGATACCAGGCGGCCCGCACGGCATCAGGGGGATGTCCTGGCCGGGCCCCCCTGTTCCCCCGGGCCCCATAGCGGCCGCCTGGGTCGCTATGGTGATTGTTACGCCCCCCTGGCATCAAGTCCATTACCGATATATCAGAGAATGCCTTCAATGAGTCCAAGAATGTGCACTGCATGGCGCATGCACCTTTGGGACCCCCATCCACTCAGACATGGTACTCTTCAGCCTGCCGTTCCTATCTGATAGAATAGCAGTGCATTTTCCCTCCTGATCACTGATAACAACAGATACTAGACAGCCAATGTCTACATCCTCTGAGCCATTAGTATTCTTATCACTGGAAGAAGATGTTCCATGACTTCTGGCTGCTGGCTCCTAAATTAAACTATCGTTATTCATCCAAACTGCTTTGTATAAAAAAAAGCAGCAGTTGGTCATTGTGAAACAGTGTGTTTTGTAGGCTATGACACATGAATATAAAGCAATATTAGAGTAAAAATGTTTTTAAGCTATTTTAAATATGCTGAATAATTCACTTACAATGGATTCTGCTCCTTGATGTTTAAAGTTTTAGTTTGCTGTAGAATCAGCTGGTCTCCAGAGAAATATTATGTTATGGGTGACTCCTTTCCCTTGCAGGGTCCTGCAGAGCCACCCTTGTGTTTAATAGTCAGCTATGTGTCTCACAAAGACACTCTCCAGCTCCCTCCTCTCTCCGCTCCTCCTTCCCTACTTCAGGCTAGTAGATGGACACCTGCTGGAGATTGTGCTCTCCCTTGTGATCTTGTACTAGACAGGAATCTCAGGGAAGCTAAGATAAGAGAGTTGGAGCCAACTGTTCAGAAACATGATAAATGTAATTGCTTGGGTGAAAATATAAAGAAATACTTTGCTGGGCAATGTATATTTGTTTGATCTGGATTCATTAGTTTGATGCTACTTTTAGTGGCTATTGTACCTTCATTCAAAATGATACATTGCTATTGTTTCCAAAGGTATGTTCAGGATTGTGGTACGTGATGGACATGCTGTGTTATCTCTGAATGCTATATATACACAATTTAAAAAAAGAAAAAATACAAACTGTGATGAAACAGTTACTTTAAAAAAACAAAAACAGACCAATATGCTAATTTTATGATGGAAATATTAACCTCTTGCCGTCCGCCCGTAGTAAAAAACCGGACGGACGGCACTGCTGCATTTGCGGATTGCCGTCTCAAGACGGCAATTTTTTTCTGCTCACGTGCGCCCCCTAGCGGGCACGCACGGGCAGAAAAGACCCGACCATTAAACACACCCTTTACCGGGTGTTTCACATATAGGCAATCAGCGGGTCCATAGCCCGCCGATCGCCTCCCCCACCCCGGGCGGTCGCCGCTGCAATCATTTTAGGGCCATCAATCACTGATAACACTAAACTGATGAGCGGTAACAGCTTTTAAAGCGTCGCCTATGGCCAATTTTGGGTATTATCGTTTTTTTGAGGTTTCGCGCGCGCACGCAATTTTAAGGCTTGACATGTTTGGTGTCTTTTTACCCGACGTGACCCCGTCTTTTATATTTTACCAAAAAATTGGGTAATAATAAATGTTTTATCATTTAATATAGGGGAAACTGTTTTTTTTTTTTTAAATTTCGGTAATTTTTCCTTAATATAGTAAAAAAATAAAACCCCCAGTGGTGAATAAATACCACCAAAAGAAAGCTCTATCTGTCCCCAAAAAAGGGTATAAAATTCATTTCAGTACAGCGCTGCATGACGGAATAAATGTCAGTTAAAGTACCGCAGCGCTGAATACTGAAAAATGGCCTGGATGGGAAGGGGGTTTAACACCATGGATGTCAACTGGTTAAAGAAATGCATATTTTTTGTTATATTATTAAATATGCATTTCTTTAATTTTTGCAAAAGGTGAACTTAGCCTTCACAGTCTTTTTTCTTACTTAGTTTGTGCAAACAAATGTTTTGGTACGTTACAAGACCGGTAGTTATAAATGAATAGCTGTGTTTATGCAGGGTAGCACATGGCATCTATGGACTGGACTGTAGTACAAGGTTGTACTTACATGCAGATTATACTTGCATCCAAAGTCGCTATTGTAAAGTGAAAATGCGTTCAGTTGCCTATCCTGCTGCTTCAGGACTTGAATTTCAAGCTTGAGTTCATTTAGTTGATTTTCTAGTTGTTTACTCTTTTCAAGGTATTCAATCCTGCATACATCAAGATCAGAAGTTAAACTTTATGGAAAGAACAATACTATATTTGCCTCTATATGTCATAGATGCATAAATGCTAGCAATAATGCTTCCTTGGTGGAGGAAATTATCAAATAAAATAGTTACCAGGAAAGGTACACGATACATTTTTGGCCAGGTCCAGCAAGGCATTTTTGCTGCCTTTGAGGCTGCCAATCATGTTCAAGAACAGCCTAGAGACCATCAACAGCAAGGCTGGCCTATGTGTCTACTCACAGTGGTTAACAATGAAAAACTAAAAGAACATGTTTATACTAAAAAATATATATTTTTAATATTTTTTTTCCCATTAATTATTATTTTTTTCTTATTACAAATGAACATTTAATAAATTGTGTTTCTATGATATAGTATTTGCAGAGCATGCTGGTCTTTCTAATAAGAAAGGCCAAAACCGCCCACCGCCTGCTTTCTGACTTTTTCTAACTCAAAATTCCTGTGGAGTCATATATTGGGGGGGGGGGGGGGGGTTTC